GTGCAAATTCCATATACGCTCCAAAAATCATGACAAATACAAATTTTCCAATTTGCATCCATTTTCCAACCTAAATGGAACAGATTTCTCTAGACAATAAGTGATAAATACTAACTCATAGTTACAGAACTATGATGAAATAAATCATTCAGCAAAACCATCAAGGGGATGTTTGGGAAAAGAAAAATGTTGGAGACACCAGATCCTGGCACAAGATGCTACAGAAGGAGAATATGGCTGATTGATAGAGATTGGTTCAAGTGAAAGGTTTTTTTAAAAAAAACCAAACATCAGCAGTTTTATACCGGAGAAACACCAGAATAAAAGTCATCAGGTACCATGAAAATGAGTGAAGGGGCAACATTCTGTAGACTGTTGCTGAGACAAGAAATAGTAACTTATGAACAATTCTTAAATTGGGAATTTTGTTTTTTCCATATGCTTTAGCATGAAATTAATATTCTTTTTCACTGAAATTCTGATGATGTTCAGTAAAAGTGGTGATTAATGAATATTTCCTGAAATTTAACTCTAGTTCAAAAGCTTAGTACTAGTACGTCTAATGAATCTCTGTATGATTACATATACTTTCTTTAAAAAAGAAAAGTTTTGAATTGTTTAATGAAAGAGTATCAATATTTTTAATGGTAGGTTGATGATACCCATCTGGGTTAAATGACAGTGAGAATTTTACAGTAGTTTTGTCTTTTCTGGAAAATACTGTTTGACAGCTAAACCAATAATCTATGATATAATATGGCTTTCCATTAGTTCTTGATGCTGTTCAGAATCTACATTCAAAGCTTTGGATTAAAGTACCATTAATGAAATTATGACACCCAGCTTTATTTCTAATTCTAAGGAAATAATTATTATCCTTGAATGGTGCTTGAAAAGTGTTGGATATGAGAGAGAACAACCTGGAATTAGATCCAGAGAAAGGGACATCTTGCTGGTTAAAAGGAAAGTTATCTTGGGAATTGAAATTCAGTCCTTTCCAGATTTTTTGGGACATTGAAAGGCTAGGTCTGCACGTGTGAGTACTTCTTGATCCTCAAATACCACTGGATTTGGGTGACACTTGGTTAAAAAGCAGATTTTCAGAGTTACAGTTAGCGTGCCAGCTGTGACAATTCCTGTTTTGGCAATAGTTATCCAAAGCTTGGTTACGTGTTTTAAAATATTGGAATACACTTTCTAAGGGATACATTGTGCAGAAGTTGCAATTAGTGCAAAATGAACAGGCAGGCTGGTTACTGCTGCACAATATAATAGAGGGCTCATAGGAAGCCTGTCTTGAGAGATCTTCACTAGTTGCTATGTTCTTAGAATAAGTGTTTTTCAGTCAAGCTTGACTCTTGGTAAGTTCATGGGCACATCCATGTAATTTTCATAATAACAACATGAAAGTGATCTTTCATTGTCTTTTCTTCTTTTTCTTCTACCTTACTGATAGGAATTAACAGAGGGATAGAATCAAGTCACATGAAATGTTAGTACCACTTGATAATGCTTTGATATGCAACCTGGAATATTGCATCTAGATTTGGTCACTACAATATAAAAAGGATTCTAGAAAGAGTGCAGAATGCAGAGAAGAGCAACAAAGATGATTAGGAGCTAGAAGCTAAAACATATGAAGAATGGTTACAGTAATTGGGTATGTCTAGTTTAATGAAAAGAAGGACTAGGGGGGTGACTTTCAATATATAAGGGGCTGCCATAAAGAAGAGGGGGGCAATCCATTCTCCAAAGCACCTGAAGGCAGTACAAGAAGCAACGGATGGAAACTAATCAAAGAGAGAACCAACTTAGAAATAAGGAGAAATTTCCTGACAGTCAGAAAAATTAATCAGTGGAATGGCTTGCTTTCAGTAGTTGGGGTACTCCATCACTGGAGGTTTTTAAGAAAAGACTGGACATTGTCTGAAATAGTATGGGGTCTCCTGCTTGAGCAGGGAGTTGACTAGAAGACCTCCAAGATCCCTTCCAATTTTGTTATTCTGTTATTCTGCTCCTTGGGAGATGTCAGAACCAGATTCATACTTTCTCTGACTAGCTGATATCCTGTTCATTCAGATTCAGCTTATGTCCAGATGTGGATCATAGATGAAATATCTCTTATTACAGCGCATACAGCTAGGTATTGTGTAGCAGATCAGAAGATCCATCAAACCGTGATGGGCCAGCATCCCGTAATATATTCCCTGTAATTATAGTTCATCTGAATTTTAGATATTACTTCATTGATATTAATAGTTCAACATATTTTGATATAATTTTTGTTGCAATTATACTAATATAACTTTAGTATTTAGATTATGAACTAATATAGGCTTTATTCTGTATCTTACTCATTAGAAGCCAATTAGCTTATTCTATAAATGTATTTTATTTGTTCATTATCATGTTGTAATTTTAGATATTATTTTATTTAATACAGCGTGAGTGTTTACAGTATAGTTTAACATAGATTCTATCCTGGATCTTACTAATTAAAGCTAGTTAGGTCATTTTACAAATGTATTTTAACCCAGTCTTAAATTATTGATCATTTTTTCATTACTTGTACTGATTTTTGACAGTAATAAAATGAAACTGAAACTGGGCAAAAATAACACAAATGTCAATTTTCATAGAAAAATGCTAAAATGTAAATTATTTGAATAATAAGGTACATATATATATATATTGAATGTAGCAGATATTGTTACTAGAAAAGAAGTTAAGGCCAGAAATACACTCATGTTACATTTTAAAGAAACACACTTTTCTTTAAAATATCTGCCAAATTCAAACTAATTTATGCATCTGGATTTGTTAGCAGTTTCATCCAGAAATGTTGCAGATTTTCTTGTGATTGAACAAGTTACATTTCAAGTACTTTAAATCAAAAGTAACTTAATTTATTTTCTGGAAAACTGATTGTAAGTATCATTGAAGTTAAAAGAAAAACAAACAAACATGCCCCCAAACAATAACCATATAAAAATAACCATGGAGTAACGTTAGTACTTGCTATCTGCAATAATCTAATGCTGACAGAGAGTAGTATTTTATTTAGTAATTAACAGTGTAAAGGGGAGAGAAGCTGTCATGTTGGTTCTTAAGCTGGGGAATGTGATGAAAGATGATATCTCCGATCTCATCCTTTCCACTTGTTTAGGATTGTCAGGATGAGAAATGTCAGCATTATGAAAGCTCAGCTCTGCTCTTGATATGATAAAACCCTTCAAAAGCCAGTCTCTCTCCTTTCTCCCCTCCTCCCTCCCTTTCCCTCTCCCTGCACTTGCTTCTTTTTTATTTATCCTGTTTTGTTAGATGGCAGAAATATAATTCTTTTCTTTCTTCCTATTATAAGCCACCATTTTTGTTTTATTATATGTTTCACAATCCCTAATGTCCCACTGAAAATTACCTTGTTAAATGACAGTGTTTCAAAGCCATGAATCCTTCCCTCCCACCCCATTTCCTCTGAGATTTGAAACAGTCAACAGACTGTAAAGAATAAATAATAAAAAAGTATTGATTATTTTGATGACTGTGAGATTCAATTAAGTATTAATTTTGCCCTCCAGTGGACCTATCAACGTATTCAAAAGGGAGGATTCAACTTGAACTAAATGCACATTGAGTGCTTTAGCTTTAAATAGGGAGAAAATGTGTTTACCTACAGTATTTGAAGAAGAGTGCATTGATGCACAGAATCCAATACTTAAGGGCTGTGCAAATTAAACCCTAGTGACAGTGACATTGTTTTTGGCAATATGAATATTGATCAAAGAAGTGCATTTGATGACAGCTTAAACTATTTGTATTGATTAACATTTTCATAGATTATCATGTGTCATATCAAATTCACTTTTCAAATATGAATACATTAAAAACCCTTAGGGAACCATAGACCAATGTGTGAATGGGCAGACAAAACATGCTCACAAGTCTATTTGCACACTGGTCACCTGTTATGTATATAAGACCCATTTAGGCATGAACTTAACAATATATATTTGGGAAATCACGTAAGATGGTTACTTGCCCACCCAGGCTGATTTAACGGCAAAACAAATGATAGATGTTTGGGAACTTAAAATTGCTCCTCCCCTCTCTTCATATATATGATTACAAACTTTTAGTAAGTATCCAATGCAATTTTTTTTCTTTTTTAAGAGTGTGAATGTGCTTGTTACATATATATATATATATATATATATATATATATATATATATATATATATATATATATATATGGTTCCTAATAAATCCCTAATATCTCAGAAAACATATATATATATATATATATATATATATATATATATATATATACACATACATATACATACACACACACACACACACACACACACACACACACACACACATATATATATATCTGTGGGATTAGGGATTTGTGAAGCCTAATAATTCCAAAATATAATGCTTGAATGTTTCTTCTTGCTTTATTATATGTGGTAAAATAAAAGATTTTTTTTAAGTATTATTGTGGGATGTTATGGGAATTTTATTTATACTATGTATTTTTTTTATTCTGATATGATTAATGTTATAGAAGTGAATTGTTTGAGACAGAGTTTTAGGACGTTTCAGTATTATCATTTTTTCATTGTACTGCTCGACCATGGTGCTTGCAGTTACCTCGCTCTTACCACATTACATTAAAGAGTAAGATGTAAAAAAAATATTCAGAAGAAGAACATCTCACAATTAAAGCTGTGTTGGCTATGTAGCTTTCACTGAAGTTTTTCTCCAAAGCATCCAGAATCTTTCACATGCTAGTTGAGCTTTAATAGGGTGGGGAGTAATGGAAAACTCATTGGATCTGTAATAGCTCTTCACTTGACTGCAGCCAGCAATAACAGCAGGAGCAGCAAGAGATAAGAGAGAGAGAGAGAGAGAGAGAGAGAGAGAGAGAGAGAGAGAATACGCACATCAAAGCTACCACTTTTTTCCCCCTCTTTTCCCCCCCATCCTAGGATCCAATGATAACTGGACAAGTCAGTAAGCTCTTGTTGTCAGTGCAGAGTGAAATGAATGCAGAGTTGAGAGGTGAGGACAAGGCAGCTGCTTCAGAAGACGAGCTGGATAAGTCCCTGCTTGTGGCTGTGGAATCAAATGACAACGAGGACACTCCCAGCAAGCTCTTTGGTAAGTCTATCTAGGTATTTCGTGTTTGGGGGCTGTAGTTGCCTCTGCCTCGATGCCAGAAGAAGAGAGAAAGCAGATAAAGCTTTCGTATTTGGAAGAACTAACTTCTGGGGAAAGGAGAGTGGGCACAAGCTTTCTCTGTCCTGCTTGAGATTGTGTGCCTGCTAACTGATCAGAGTTTGGCCTGAGGAACAGTCTGCTCTCGTTGGTTTTAGCTGAAATTCACAAATTGTATGCATGAATCCCATAGAAATCAGTGGGACAGCAGCAAGACTGTTCTCCACACAAATGGTTTGTTGTTGCATACTATCTTTTGCTTTGAGATACAGATATAATGATTTTTTTAGAATTAATCACTATCATGTATTGATTTTGTTAAGAAATTGATAAACAACTGAAATGTGCAAATATGTAACCAAAGGGTCATGTTTTCCTTGTATTACGCCATGAAAATGATCTGGAGGAACCTGTGGGTATAGTAAACTTTCCTTAAGTATTTCCAAGAGGCTTTTCTCCTTTTTATAGGAATCTCTTTTAAATAGGAATAGAAATAATGTTTATTTCTTAGACACTATTATCACATTCTGGAAAGAGGGTTTAGATGATTTGGGGTAATCTAAGAAATCAATCTTATATATTTTTAATGAGGAAGGAAATCAAAAATACTTTATGGCTTCTTGGAAGGTATTTTCATTTCAGCTGAAAATTATCCATTTGTCAGGATGCATGAATATAAGTATTGTATGTTTTAAATAACTGGACAAATAGCTTATGACATAATAGCTTTTCAGCAATATTGGTTTGATATCTAAAAGGAAATAAGAAGAGTAGCAATCTAGCCCAGGCATCATTCAAACCAATGACACTCTGTGAGACAACTCAAGCAACTGTAATCTCTAATCAAAAAAGGGAATAAAGCATGTTCGGGGGTGTGCTTGAGTGATAGATGTTGATATATGCCTGAGCTGGAGCAATACTATGTAGTCCAATGTGACATTTCAATTCTATAACCATTGATTCTCAAGGAGTTCTTTTTAGTAATTACCATGTACAAAATTTCAAGCAGAAGATGCTAAAGCAGGTAGTTTGCATCTTATAAAAATGTCAGGTTTGAGGGAGTTATATACCTTTAGAAAACAATCAAAATTATGTAATTTATCTCCTAGAAAATTGAGAATACAATGTCAGTAATTTTGTGAGAGCATGAAACTATAAAATAATTTTTGCAAGAAAAAGTTCATGCAATATTTATAAGAATATATGCCGTATTATGTTTTTTTTTCAAAAAGACAGCACAAGAATCAGGTAATTATCTATAACAAGAAAATTACACCATTTGTAGCTGAAATATACAATTCTTTGTATAAGCCATCATTTCCTGTTTTTGTACAAAAAGAGGATTTAAAAAAATAAATTTCTTTTCATATAGGAATGTCCAACAACCATACATTTTAATGCAGAGAATACATTTTGATTCTTCTAAAGATTTCAATGTAATATTTCAAATGTATAAACATAAACATATATAAACATGTAATTTTTAAAAAATATTCATATGTTTTGAAGGGAAGGGGATAATAAAAGTATTTTCCTGCTTCAAAATATATTTATTAGTACTTTTCTTTCCAAAAGAATAATGTTTTCCTGATTATCATTTAGCTGCTACTTATTCTAATAGAAGATTTCTGTATAAGCACTATTAAAATGATAGAGAACTGTTTTTTAAAATTATTTAAAGTATTCCTAGAATTAAATTGCAACAGGTAAATTTATGATGTAAAGATAAAAAAATGTACTTTTAATGAAAATATTATATTTAGTATTAACAACTACAAGGCCATACAACATATTTATACATGATTTCAATGGCTAGCATTCCTTAACAATATAATCTGATTTATGTCAGTAATAAGCCACATAGATTTCAATATATATTATATTATATTATATATTCAATATGTTATTTTCAGGTAAAGCTTAATTCTCTACAGTTTCTATTAAATGGAAACAAAATGTTTATTTTGGCTCAAGAGTACCTTTTTGACCCAATAATGAAACAATCTGGTACACTAGACATATACTCCAAAATACCATGAAGGGCATTGGATGCTTTTGGTAAAGATGTCTAGGAAGTACTTTTAATGGGGACTCATTCCATTGATTTTATGGAAAGGGCCTTTTTACTCCTATGAATTTCATTATGAGATTGTAGCCCATTTATAACCACTGAATATTTCACAAAAGTTAGGAGAAAAGTTATAAAGAAACAAGGAACAGTTATATAAGAGAAAGAAAATTGTTGGCAACATCTTGCCTTATTTATTTAATTAAACATATTCTGTTTAATTTTTATTCTATAAAGTAACTGTTTTCTTCTTTGAAAATAGCCCTAACTATTATTTTAGAACTTAATACAGTTCTCAGTGTTAAATATGTAAATATTTTGTTAATTTTTTTTATTGTTTGATACATTCTTTTTTGGTACTAAAATACTTTGTAGTTTTGTTATAAATTATTTTTGTTATTAAATTGAAGTCTAAATGTTAATAATTCTTGATAGGAAAGATAAGGAAATAAGGAGTTATGACTGAGGCTATCAGTGTCCAATAAAAAATATCTATGGTTAGAATATCTCACTATTTCCCACAACTGTAATGTCAGATGATTTCATAGACAGAACATAAGTAAAGCCCTTTATTTTTTCGAGCAGCACTAGCTCTACTTTTAGAGGACAGAGATTCAGGAATAAAATTCTCTACAATAATTCTCTGAACTGAAACAATAATTTTATTCAAATCACCGGATTGAATTGACATATCCAAGCTGATTTGATTTGGACTGTTTAGATACCATTTCACACATGTGTATATTATATTTAAAACATCTTAATTGGCAATATTATTTGTCCTCAGAGTAATTTCCTCATCTTCCACCTCCTTTGGGGAACTTTTGAAAGTATTACTGCGGTATTAATAAGCCACCAAAATGTTTATTTTAGCACCAATTCTAAAGGACTTTGAGCCTCAGGAATACTGGTGTCTGAGTTTATTCAGCTTTCAAATATATAAAGAACTTTGCTAGATGTCCTTAATTAAAGTATACAAGTTTTAAGCTATTTATATTACCCATATTTTAATGTCCTGCTCACATATATCATATTACATTTTCAAAGTTCCTTCCTTCGTGTGCTTAGTAATGACCATTTGAAAAATAGGACAATGAGTATTGTTTTAAGGGATTTTTATGTTCTCTAATGCATTTTATTAGCCATGTAATTTTTCTTAGTGTTATATTAAAGTAATATTCATTCATTCATTCATTCCAGTTGATACTAACTAGTTAATACTAGCAAAAAAGTTGTCTCCAATTAACAACCACTTCAGAAGTTTGTTATAAAATGAATTTCTGGAGTTGCTGCTATTTGGAAGAAGAGAACAAGTTTCACTGCAATAGCATGGCTCCAATGTATGACACTGATCCAAACTGTAACCCCTAAGAGCAGTTTTGCTGGACAGAGAAGACATATGATTTGATACACATTATTTTTAAAACTAAGTTAATAAAAATTATTAGTTCTTTAAACATTTACATACTAGAATATTTTATATTCAGGCTTAGGGATGGCATTTGGTGTCAGGGACAGCTCATTTTTGTTCCTCCTGTTCCTAGAATGTCTAGCAAACTGTTTATTTTATTTATTACAAGTCTTTTATCCTTGTATTGATAATATTGATTAGAGATGGCAGAAGAATTTATTAGGTTGATTCGCTAAATTCACACTTCCCATTTTTTAAAAACATAGTAAATTCTATACATTAGATAGTTCCAGATGTTGCATGGCAATTCTCTTTATAAGCATGTAAAACTCAAACAACTTAATGACTTTAGTTATTTCATAAGTGTATGATTCAAGTGGATTTTATAAATATATGCTCTAGATAGAATGCAGTGACAGCATATTTCTGTACCACATCTATTACAATGAAATATCATTTTTAACTTTTAATCTGTGTTCAATATTAATGTTATTTCACTATAACGGGCTGAAAAGTTATGGTAAATATGTTTGCTATGACTCGATCCCAGTTGGACCTATATGGAGAATGCGTATTTTTGCAGTTTTAGTGTGCAAGTGTATTATCTCTTATTGTGTATGCTAAGAAACCTTTGTTGCCCTGTGAGAAAACAGAATGTCAGTGTCAAAAAAGAGAAAAAAAAATAAAAGGAAAGGAAAGAGGTATGATGAAAATTAGCCAAGAGCTTGGTGGAAACTGGCTAGGTACATGCTGAGAAAGATTGTATCTGATGAATCCAAAGCTCCAAAAAGTTCCAAATTAGTATTCAATCTAGTCCACCCTTGGAGATAGAGCATATTTATTTATTCTATGGCTTTTAATGGAGGGGAAATCATTAATAAAAAATATGAAAACTAGGGAAGGAGTGAAAACAAATACCTCTGCAGTTATCTTTTCTCATTTCTGAGTTGTTAAAGGCTCCCAAGAGGTCTTTGTATTTCTCAGATTAGTAGAGCTCTCTACAATAACAAATAAGTTTGCTGAGTTAAAATACAAAACAAACAAACAAAAAAACCCTAACAAACTAATTGACCAAATCCAGTGTTTATTTTTAGGAACAGAACATAAACTAGCAAAATTATTTTATATTAATATAGAATCAAATCCCTTCTGATATATTTCAATCTAAAGAAATTTGGCAAGACGTACCTCTTGTACGATGTTTTAGTTCTTCTTTTGCTGATCAGCAGCTTATATTAGGTGAATGGTAGTGAAGGAACCTCTAGTATATTCAGCATAAATTACTTTTGCCTGAAGGAGCTGTAAGGTTCACCCTGCACAACAAATATCAGCTGCAGGAAATGAATATGGTTTGGAAAATGACACAGTGGGAAAAGATTAAATATTTCATAATTTCATAAATTCAGACCCTTCCCAATAAATGAAGTAAATTAGGGAATCTGACTATGATCTCTTGATATCTCA